TAATAAATTGTTATTAAATTCAAACAAAACTAAGTACATTTTATTTCACCCCACTAATAAAAAAAATCATAACCATCAACCTTACCTGTTCACAGCATAGACAACTCAATTATTGAAAGAACTCATTCATCTAAATTTCTGGTGTACTTATCGATGAGAGCTTATCTTGGAATTCTCATTTAAACGCTATTAATACAAAAATATCTGAAAGCTTTGGTCTACTTTTTAAAGCAAGACCTTTTCTGTCTTACGATAATTTAAAATTACTTTATTTTTCATTTATACACTGCTATCTATAAATTATATAAAATTAGGATAAAATTAGGATTTTTTAAAATAATTGTAATATTATATATATATATATATATATATATATATATATATATATATATATATATATATATATATATAATTTTTTATGGCTATTTTCTTGATTTATGATGATTTTTTGATAGTTTTTTCTTAATTTAAAGAAAAAATTATGGCTGATGATTGCCGAAGGGCATGAAACTTTAAGTTCCATCACAAAGTTGTATTTTTTCAAATAATCAAACTCTTTATATATAATATATATATATATATATATATATATATATATATATATATATATATAATATATATATATATATATATATATTTATATAAAAGTTATACTCATAACAACAATATTATCTTTCAAATGATAAAAAACTTTACAAGATATGTATATTAATTTAAACAAAAAAATTTTCAAATATTTTTTTCTTTTTTGCATCTTTCTAATTAAATTTATTTCACATAATCGATAGAGTATAAAATATCATATCAAATAAATACTTTTTAGGGTTAAATTACCTTTAATTGGTAATTTAATTTAATTTAGTATTAGTATTAGTATTAGTTTATGCTGTGACTGGTATTGATACCAGTGAGTGTGGTTTTCAACACACTAAGACAGCTGAATCCCGTGATGGTTTGACTCCCATCGATATAGTTTTGCTTTGAATGAATTCGTTGAAGTAGCCCTGACAATATTTTCCGACAGTGCATTCCAATAATTTGCAGCTCGATTAAGCAAAATATTTTCTCTATACTTATGTACTGAAAATTCTTTAGAATATTTCAGGCTATGGCCACGAGTACAATTTGATTTAAATGAATAAATTTCTTTAAATTCAACTTTATGATAACCTTTGAAAATTCTATATAGTTGTATAATGTCTCCTTGTTGTCTTCTTTTAATAAGTGAGGGTATTTTAAGATAAGCAAGTCGATCTTCATAGCATAATTTACTGATTTGAGGTATTAGTTTAGTGGCACGACGCTGTACTTTTTCTAAAATGATTATATCTTGTTTTTGATAAGGAGCCCATACTGGTATAGCAAACTCAAGTAGCGGTCGAACAAATGAAAGATATAGGGATTTAAGCAGTTCAGCATCAAATCGAACAAAAGATTTTTTTATTATGCCCAACATGCGATTAGCTTTGCTTGCACTCGATAATACTTGATTTTTTCACTTCAAGTTATCTGAAAAAATCACTCCTAGGTCCCTTTCTGAATCTGATGTATTGAGTTTACAACCGTTTATATAAATTGGATATCTCTTATTTTTATAGCCATAGTGCATAACTAGACACTTTTCAATATTAAAACTAAGCAGCCAGTCTTGTGTCCAAGCATATGCAGAGTTTAAATCGCACTGTAGTTTATTATGCAACTTATCAGAAGAACTAATTGACAATTTAAATTTAAACCAATTTAAATGGTTTTTTAGAGAGAAAACTTTACAAAATAAAACACGTCTGAAATTTTTTTTCCATAAACGGTAAGTGCTAACTAATTTTCAAAATTACCTACCATGTAAAGGTTTAAACAATGTTATAAAAAAATACTAAAACTTTTTGATAAAATTTAAAATGTTTAATGTTTTTACAACTATTTCAAATTTTTATGGAAAAAAATTTAAAGCCATCAAAAAAGCTAGACAAACTTTTTTTTTTAAAGTTAAAGATTTTTAATGTTAAAGAAATAAAAAATCGTTTGCGGGTAAAAAACATCTCAAATCTTTAAAAATTTATCTTTTTAAAAATATATTATTACGGAAGTAAGTTAGTTTTGTGTAAAACAGTACTAAAAATATAAATTTAAAAAAAAACATAAAAAATTTTTTGATTTTTTTAAAAACCACGGTTGATGCTTTTTCACGGTAGGGGATGTCATGATCCTACTGTGTTTTTATATTTTTTGCTGAATTTTTAATGAGCTTTCAATGGATGCATAAATGACCATTTTTTATGATTTTTTTCCTTTCGCTACAGACATTATCCGGTTACCATGGAGACAGGTGAAAGTAGGTTTGAGTCTTAAAATGATTATTTCAACATATAGGCCAAGTTTCATGCTTTTACTCTAAATAGCACAAACATATAAATTTGTCTACAATTGACTGCACTATTATTTCTAGCTCAGTTTTTTTTTACATAGGTAGGGTATATAAGGTAATGAGGTAAGCGTCCAAAACGTTCAAAAGACGTTTAAAATTTTAAAAAGATGTTTAAAAAATGTACTTTTTACGTCTTGTGCTCACTGGTGGTAAACTAACCAGGTTTTGAAAAGAATTAGGTTTTTATAATAAAATATATTCTACAAACTTATTGACTTTAAATTTCTTAAATCAAACACACTACCACCAGTCATATAAATAACATATGGCAGCAACATATATGAGGTATGTGGTGGTAATATTGTAGTTACTTTTTCATAATTATTTTTAGCATAATTAGTATATAATCTATTAAATTAATGATCCTTGTACGAGTTTTGTGATCTTATTTTCAGTAGCTCTTGTGTGCTTTGCGAAATATTATATAAACTCTATGAAATGTTCAGTTGAACAAATCGTAGTTGCTCTACTTTTTGAAACATATTTGAAAACTGATTGTAATTATCGAAGTCGTGATGAAGTGGTTAGAATTCTGGTTTAAGAACTGGAGGTCCGTAGTTCGAAGACGGCTCCGGCAAATAAGCATCAACAGTAAAAAAGGAGGCGTGACCTTTCTGGTTAAGCGCTACTTCAAGGTGCTCTGTGATAAGACTCTAAGGCCTTCTTTGAGCACCTTAACAACTTAAAAAAAGTAAATAATAATTATAACTATGTAATTTTTTTTTTTTTACATATTACAAAAGTTTGTTTTGTTTTTAAAAACATTCTTAAATAAATCTTTCAAATTTTCTATTTACTTTGGTCTTTTTACTATGGGTGGTTAGATGTTTTAAAAAGTTTTTCAAATTTTACCTTCAGAGGCACAAGCAAAAGTAAATAACTACATTTTTAAAGCTTTTTTTAAGGTTGATTTATTTTGAAAGCCATAAACAAGTTCTCCATTAAAAATGATCTTTTAAATGAACCATTTTCTCCAACAAAATTTAATAAACTTTATATTTTATTTAAATTGAATCATTTTTGTATTTCGTTGATATCCTTATTTAATTTTATAATTCTATCTCATTCGAAACAATTAACTGCAACGTAACGTGTCACAATATTAAACAAATTAAAAGATATAAAACTACATATTTAAAAAAAAAAAAAACTATTTGTTTCTCCTTATAACGCTTAAGATAAATTGTTTTTTAAGCAAATTTTTTGTCCAAAAATCAATTAAGTTCTGTTTAATTTGCTTTGCTTTTTTGTTTCTCTTGCAAAACAAATTATTTAACCTGCAAGAATTTATTTAAAATAGAAAAACTCAAATGTTTTTAAAAAAAAGTTTTTTTCTTTAAAAAACGAAAGACAATTTTTTTTTTTTTTTTTAATTTATTTCGTCAGTAAAAAAAAAAAGAATACAATGTCGTGTAAAATAAATAAGATCAACATGACCGGGGTTAAAAGAAGACAATACTTGCCTTATCACTACAGCCCGACGTGCTTTCATAAGCAAGCGTGTACAACCATTAAAAGTTAAATATACAATTACTTTGTGCCATTAAAAAAATTATATACAATTACTTACAAGTATGTTAAGACTAGTTACTAATCTATAATCAAAAGAAAATAGTAAAAAGAAATTAAAAAAAAAAAAAAAAAATCAAAACTATAGATAAGTTAATAGGATAGTTTATAGAGTTAATAAGATAATTGTTAAAAATAAAGAAAAAATAAAAATAAAAAATTTTTAAAAAGAATTTAATTCATTAACATCGTTAATAAGTTTTTGTTTCAATTTTTTTTTGAATAGGTAAAGAGAAGAACAATTTTTCAGCTCGTCACTTAATAAAGCGTTCCATAATTTAGGACCTCTTATAGCAATAGAAAATTTGGTAGCTAAATAATGCATTTTAGGTTGCTCATAATTGTACTTAGAAAATCTTGTAGGGTACATGTGATTAATTTTATTGAAAAGAGTACTAAATATTATAGGTGATATTTTATTATGAAGTTTGTACATAAAAATAAGAAATTGATAAAGGTTTAACTGAAAAAGATTGAGTATGTGAAGATTATTAAATAGTTCTTTAGTATGTGTGAATCGACCTGCATTTGAAATAATTCTGACAGCATGTTTTTGTTTAATAAGCAGTTTTTTAATTTTACTTATATTAGAGCTGCACCAGGCAATGTTTGCATAGTTTATATAACAATGTATGAGGGCCCAGTAAGCACAGGACGTTTTTAAAACGTTTTAATTCCGTTCAATTTACGGTCGGACGTTAAAAGAACCAATACAATCGTTTTTAAAACGTTTTTTTGCAAACGTTTTTTTTAATGTTAATTTAAACGTTTTTTTAGCGTTTTTTAAACGTTTTATTTTTTTTATTAACTTACGAAATTTCTCAGTTAGCTTATGAACGTTTTTAAAACGTTTTTTTAACGTGATAAAAAAACTTTTTTTAAACGTACAGGACGGCAATATTTAAAAGAGTATGTTTACGCAAATAATGGCGTGACCTTCGATTAGGCGAATTGATTTATTTAAGTAAAAATTATTTAAATTAGTATATATTTAAATCAACCAAGTGTTTGTATTGTTTTTTTGTAGAATTAAATTTGAAAATATATTGGAGTATTTTTAGTTTAAAGTTGTATGCTTTCGTTGAAACTTGGTTGTGTTTGTATTTCTACTTGAATCAAGTAGATATGATTAATAAAGTTTTTATAAAGGAATTACTATAGTTAAAAAAGGCTGAAAGGAAAAAATATGATGATTTGTTTCAAGAAAGGGAGTGACTTACTTCAAAATGTCATTTTAAAATTTTTATTCTTTAATGATATTCTGGTGTTATTACCAAATGTTTAGCAGTATGAAACCTATAATATTATATACCATACTATATACCCTATTATACTTATAAAGTTAATAATCTGTAAAGTAATTTGTAAAAATTTTTTAATTGTAAAATTGCTACACGAGAAGACAAGTTGTTTGATGAATTTCAAATATTCTCTATGTTTGTGTTGTGTAAGTTAAAAAATAATAAACAAAGATGATATTGATTGTGATGACCAAAAGATTTATTTTAAGACACATCAATCTTCATCATCTGTAAATAAAAAGGATAAACATTATGGTTTTCCATTATCTCAAGCAAGTAAGTCTTTAGTTAAAAATAAT